GTTCAAGACTGAAAAAATTACATGATAGAGTGAAAACTACTGTACAATGGTTTATAAAACGTATATTACAATGGTTTCAATGAATCTAAAATAAGTTTTTTTATGTATTAAGGTATAGATTTTGGCTATTTCGAAATAATGGAATATTGTCAGAGAACAAGTAGGCTATACACTCAAACCTTGGTTTACGAACATAATTCGTTTCTAAAAGTTGTTCGGAAACCGATTTTTTCTCAAACCGAAACAAATTTTTTGCATAAGAAACAATGTAAAATGGATCAATTCGTTCCTTATTCCCAAAACAAAAATTTTTTAAACCTTTTTAGCAGCATTTCATGCATAAAAATGACTACAAATGCAATATAATATAATATAATCTATATCTGTTATACATATATATAAAGCAAAATGTTTCGTGACCGCCAACCGAAACCGTACCTAACACACAAAAAGTGCTATNGAAATTTCAATTCCAGTTCAAAATCTTTAGCCTAGAACTCGTTAATCGTAACAATTCGCCCATGGAAATTACTGTCCCATACATGGAGCATGTTACATGGAAATTATTGAACTATCCAGTCAGTTTGTGTCTATTAGGTGGTTAGGTACTCATCTGGTCAACCCCTTGTGTTTTCGCAAAACTTCAATTATAATCATAAAGACGGAACTATGCGACATCCCCATTGCTGCCGCATTCTCATCTCATGTGACACGATAATCCTTTTTGGAAACCTGCACAAAATGTTCTTCTGTGTGCTCGTCCGTGGCGATCTTCGATCGTCCCGACTTTGGGTAGTTCTGAATGCTACGGCGAATTTGTTAAAAACGGGATGCCCACTGAGATATCACATTTCGATTATGATGGAATCAGCGTAAACTTCAAAAGCTGCGTGAATCTCAATCAGTGTTTTCTCACGTAACGTTTTAATTTTGATGAACGACCTCTGACAGTCACTTATAACAGTACCAAAATCATCTACATTTTGATCACTGCTAGTCCAGAATAACCATGGCTGGATTAACCATTAGGCAAAATAAGCACGTGCTTACGGCATCAAGGAAAGGAAGCATTACAGAAATTTTTCATTGCTTGATTTAACATGGACCGTATGGTGAAAAACTGGAAATGGTGCAGCTGAACCAGGGTCCACAAAAAGGCTGACTTCACAATAAATGAAAAAATTAAAGTATTTGCTGGCGTCATTTATTTCGAAAATATAATTTTATTTTATGTTTTATTATTGTTTATATTTTAAATTACATATACAACAATGTTCCTTAAGCTTTATTCTGGCACGGCGCACCCAGATACTATGGACATCTGACCATCTTAATAATTTTATTATCTTAATTTGGTATAAATAAAGAATAGTTATATAATATTTATTTTTTTTATTTATATACATTACTAGGCTGGTATTGAAAAAATATTGGACTCGAAAATCCTTGAGATTTTGGCGGTCAGTAGTCACTTGTGTTGCTATTCAATTTCATTCGGCTGTACTTCGTAACTCCGAAATATCTTTTAAACAGAAAATAAGCTTTAATATTTAATACATAAAAAATTCTACTGAGATAAATTATTAAATGACATTCTGATTTAACGTTTTTTCATGTTTACAATATATATGAGAACAAACAATAAAAATCTACACTTTAGAATACTTTTTTTGAAACTCTTTCCGCCCTGTGTGCACTAAGAGGGCTTCTTTTAGCAAGCTCATAATGGGTTCGGCCAGGCCCACAATGGGGCGGCCGGGTGGTGAGGGACGGGGCCCGACTTATCCAGATGGTTACCCCTGAAAAATTCCTGGGGATTTTTTGACCCGTCTGCATGTAATCCTGGATCCTCCAGAGCGATAGGCTGTCACCCTGATTCTCGGCCATACGGATGCTCACTTTAGAATACTGTAATAATTATAGTTTGATTTTTATATTTTATTAATTAATGCTGGCGATTGAACATTTTAAAAATTCTTCAAATAAAATATTTTGTGTTATATTAAAAATGTAGAAATGAAATAAATCGAAATAAAGAAATAATATAATGATATTGACCCCTTATGAGTACATTTATATGTTAAAAATACCTCCTAATCCCAAAGTCACGATTCGACACTGTCTTATGACCTAAGAGGTTAAAAGNCATAAAATATTTTATATTAAAAATGTAGAAATGAAATAAATCGAAATAAAGAAATAATATAATGATATTGACCCCTTATGAGTACATTTATATGTTAAAAATACCTCCTAATCCCAAAGTCACGATTCGACACTGTCTTATGACCTAAGAGGTTAAAAGTCGTTTTTATCTGTGTTCTGATAACTGCATACCATTCTGAGAATCATTAATTATAAAAAAAAAGAACCGAAAATTATAATAACCTCATTTATTTGTAAATAAGAAATGAACGTGCAGATCCGCATTTTATCGATTAATTACTTCTAACAATTTATTGAAACATATTATAAATATGAAATAATTGAAAACTTTTAATATGTTAATATGTGTTAATATATTTTAACTTTCGATATCTTCGTGAAAATTTATTAATGAAATCACGTAACTTATATAATAATACGACAAAGGAAAATATTATTGAGTTTCTTTTAATAAAATATTTCAAAATTCATTAATTTTTCAAATTTCTATAGGCCTATTTATTTTTTTTATATTTCTATTTTCATATAATATCCTCGATAAAAAAATAAAAATAACAGATTTACAATAACCAGAATGGTTAATTTTTATTTACTCCCTATTTTACATATTTAACAATTGAAAGAATGAATCTATAGTTATCCAATACCAGCTTCTCTTCCACGCTTTTTATACCTTCTTCATCTTATAGAGAGGAAATTCAAAAGGTATTGCACAGTATTTCACTATATTAGAAAAGAAAGTGAATGAACTTACTAAACTTTACTCTTTCAATGGAGCATCTTTGTTTATCAATCGTAGCTTACTATAGGTTCACCACAATAGCAGCAGATAGCGCATATACACTCAAAAAACGAACTCTCCGCATTGGCATTTTCATTTCGAGAACAAGGAAGGCTATAAGGAGGATGTTGCAAGACCAGCCACTCGTACTTGCGCATATCATCATCTACTTCTCATTTGATGTGCTCTCCGAAACTTTTTCAGTCTGGGAAATGGACTGTGTCAATTTGCTGGACTGAAATTTCAATTCCAGTTCAAAATCTTTAGCCTAGAACTCGTTAATCGTAACAATTCGCCCATGGAAATTACTGTCCCATACATGGAGCATGTTACATGGAAATTATTGAACTATCCAGTCAGTTTGTGTCTATTAGGTGGTTAGGTACTCATCTGGTCAACCCCTTGTGTTTTCGCAAAACTTCAATTATAATCATAAAGACGGAACTATGCGACATCCCCATTGCTGCCGCATTCTCATCTCATGTGACACGATAATCCTTTTTGGAAACCTGCACAAAATGTTCTTCTGTGTGCTCGTCCGTGGCGATCTTCGATCGTCCCGACTTTGGGTAGTTCTGAATGCTACGGCGAATTTGTTAAAAACGGGATGCCCACTGAGATATCACATTTCGATTATGATGGAATCAGCGTAAACTTCAAAAGCTGCGTGAATCTCAATCAGTGTTTTCTCACGTAACGTTTTAATTTTGATGAACGACCTCTGACAGTCACTTATAACAGTACCAAAATCATCTACATTTTGATCACTGCTAGTCCAGAATAACCATGGCTGGATTAACCATTAGGCAAAATAAGCACGTGCTTACGGCATCAAGGAAAGGAAGCATTACAGAAATTTTTCATTGCTTGATTTAACATGGACCGTATGGTGAAAAACTGGAAATGGTGCAGCTGAACCAGGGTCCACAAAAAGGCTGACTTCACAATAAATGAAAAAATTAAAGTATTTGCTGGCGTCATTTATTTCGAAAATATAATTTTATTTTATGTTTTATTATTGTTTATATTTTAAATTACATATACAACAATGTTCCTTAAGCTTTATTCTGGCACGGCGCACCCAGATACTATGGACATCTGACCATCTTAATAATTTTATTATCTTAATTTGGTATAAATAAAGAATAGTTATATAATATTTATTTTTTTTATTTATATACATTACTAGGCTGGTATTGAAAAAATATTGGACTCGAAAATCCTTGAGATTTTGGCGGTCAGTAGTCACTTGTGTTGCTATTCAATTTCATTCGGCTGTACTTCGTAACTCCGAAATATCTTTTAAACAGAAAATAAGCTTTAATATTTAATACATAAAAAATTCTACTGAGATAAATTATTAAATGACATTCTGATTTAACGTTTTTTCATGTTTACAATATATATGAGAACAAACAATAAAAATCTACACTTTAGAATACTTTTTTTGAAACTCTTTCCGCCCTGGGTGCACTAAGAGGGCTTCTTTTAGCAAGCTCATAATGGGTTCGGCCAGGCCCACAATGGGGCGGCCGGGTGGTGAGGGACGGGGCCCGACTTATCCAGATGGTTACCCCTGAAAAATTCCTGGGGATTTTTTGACCCGTCTGCATGTAATCCTGGATCCTCCAGAGCGATAGGCTGTCACCCTGATTCTCGGCCATACGGATGCTCACTTTAGAATACTGTAATAATTATAGTTTGATTTTTATATTTTATTAATTAATGCTGGCGATTGAACATTTTAAAAATTCTTCAAATAAAATATTTTGTGTTAAAATTATTGTTTAATTAAAATAATTAATGTTATATTATGTATATTTAAAACTAAAGTACTCAAATATTAAATAGCATTTAATATATTCTAATTAATTTTATTAGATTTAAATAAAGTTAAGTGTGCAGAATTTGAAAAATATAAATATTATTTTTTTTTTAAATTATTATTTTTTTTTTTTTGGTT